ACTCCCCAAAGATCTAGTGTAAGCATGTACAAGAGCTACTAAGAGTACAAATTGGACATAATAATAAAAGACACAACTCCCACCATGCGGAAGGAAAAGTAGAAGCTGCTGGAGAATTTCTTCGTCTTCACCTAATGAAACATCACCAACCTACATCCAGACTATGTCAAAAGACATAGCAAAAGTAGTATCAGTACAAAACACACGTACTGGTTAGGTATCATCGGTCAACCCGACGCCCACCGTATAACATAAGAAATCAATTAGTAAGAATATACCATAAACCACTCGCTTCTCCACCTTTACCCTCACTTGGATACCCCAATAAAACTATACTAATGCCTCTTACTACTAACCACCTCCTCATTCAACCCACACACTAGTTTCTTGATCATAGCCTAGTCATTCTATCACATAGAAGAGACCAAGAATATAACTACACGTATTTCGACTGACCACCCACTACATACCATTACTTCCTCTTTTATATTACCCCGCCTTCGTCACATGACACATTATATCAAGCTTACTAACTACTAACCACGAATCCCTTTACTCCGGAATGAAATCCACTATACATTTACATCACGTAGGCTACCCCCACTTCTCACCATTACCACACATGATACCCTTTACTCGGACATTAACAATTCTTGAACCATTACAACCCACCTACCGTATCACATACGGGTTTGGGTTTGCCCTTTCCAGTTCATTCAACATCAAGGTACATATCAAGTTTACTCAACATAGAAGAACAATCAACCTAAGTCCTAGTCACCATATAACACTCCGAAAAAATACAATATCAATTATCATCACAAACAAGGTACAGTTCCAAAATCCTAAAGATATACAATTATGTCAAATTATTGGTTCTCTCATGGAACCCAAACTGTTAGCATACCGGAACGCGGTACCCGATCCAATGATTATGCCGGAACATGGCAACCGATCCCATGTTATACCGGAATATGGCAACCGATCCAAGTTAGTGTGTCAGAAAGTAACACCTGATTCATTCAACAAGCCACAATCACAATCACAAGTATATTCTCATATTCATACAAACAATTCATGATTCATGGCGTTCATCATTTATCTATCCTTAATTACAACAAGTGTGATCAACAATGCAACATTGGCATACATACCTGTATCGTAATGAAGCAAGAACGAACATACATCACACAATCATAGAATCCCAACCATCTCAATGAACTATTCATCGATGTATATCACGTAAACCTAAATCCGATCATACTTAGCCCTAGTTCATCATCTAAGACTTCTTCCTAGGATTTAGTCGTCTTTCGTTCGGTGCACGAAGGCTTACGCATAAATCCTACCATTGATTTACATATATTACGCAGTGAGCACATATTTATAACTATCCAATTCATAAAACCTAGCCTACCTGGGCGCCAAGCAGTTGCACGGAGTTTTGACTTTTTGGGGGTTTTTAGGGTGTTTTACGACTAAATTAGGTATTTTAGGAAGAAGGAGGAAATAAGATTTCGCGTTATTTACATTCTGTCTCTCCTATCCCGCTCTGGCGCCAACTTACCCCGTCGTGGCGCCGCCGCCTTAGCGGCATCTGGCCCACCCTAGAGGGACAGTGGCCCAGTAATTTCCCCAAAGTTTCGCCTTTCCTAATTAACGATGGTTCGGGTCATTACATAAACTAAGAGCAACTTATTATTTCTAAAAATTTTGTTTTTAATTCAGATAATTCAATAAATATTAAGAAGAAGAAAGATTGTATGCAAGAATTTATATTAGAAAACAATAATATTGTAACTATTTTTTGGTATTTTACTTCTTGATATTCTCACATGTAAATAAAAAATTATGATTAATCAAACTAACAAACATTTAAATAACAAAATATCTTTTCAACTTTTCTTCTTAATTTTTTGTCATCACAGTCTTTCTTTATTGTAGGCAACTATGATTATTGGCCTCTATCTTATTAGGATTGATAATTTTCTGCAATTGATCTTTGATGTTTTTCTCAAAATTACAAGAGATACTCTTATCACCCATATCATTACGTGAATTAAGAAAATTTCTGAACACCTATCATTTACTGAAATAAAATCAAATATACTAGAAACAATGTACGATTCATAAAAATTTTACAAACTAATAATTCATTAACATTTTACCTTGTCAGCCGATTTCTTAAACAACGTCTCACCTAGATGTTCAATGGAAGGCCGCTTACAAGACATTTTCCAGTTCAATAAATGTGTATTTTCATTGGCAACACGTAATGCTATTTTTTAATCAACCTCTGAGCAACACTCATACAATCAGATTTGCAAAGCTAAGGAATACCCACCAAATCTATGAAACTTTTTAGCTAAAAATATTTCATCTCTAATTGAGGTCATCAAAGCTTTAAACACAATCTCCCCCATGGAAATGACATCCAATTTCCACTAAATTAAAATAATGATCACTTACGTAGACTCTATTAGCAATTGCAAACAACAAAAATGTATAGATAAAATAAAGAACACCAATCTTCACATCATCTTCATAAAATTTTCATTTTTTACCGGCCAACAAAACATTCCTCAAGTTCTTTCTTATCAACTTGCTGAATATCAGGAAAATATGTTAATTTCAATCTATTTTACTCCTTATGAAATTTCTCTCTATCTTCTCCTACTCATTGTAATTCAGTTGACTTGTCATTAATTTCAAAGCAAAAAATACTTCCATGAATACTAACATAAAATTTGTCACAACAATTCTCAACTATCTTTATTTTCATAAAGTAACATATATAAGTTGATTTTGAACAAGGAATGGTGACATATCAAGAAAGTAGCCAAAGATTGGATTTCTAAACATAATTAGTTGCACTTAAGAAAGAATTGATTTCAATAACTCTACGACACGTATTTCACATGACAACTAAATCGAGACTTTGTAAAAAAATAATTCTTCGGTACATAGTAATTCCCCTCCTGCAGAAATAAAATTAAAAAATTTCATGTATACAAGAAAATAAAATTACCTGGAGAACCCGATTGTCAGCCACAAATTTCCATCAGACATATATTCTTCTTCATTGTCACATCTTCACTTCTAACAAAAAATTTTAGCAACATTAGCAGAAGCAATTTGTTTTTCCTTCTTTTGAATTCTTTTAGTACCTAAACGCGTTACTACGGGTATGATATCAAAGTGTATTTGCATGTATAGAATTAAAAGTTATGGATGGAGAATCAACAAAATCGGAATGATCGTCCCAATTTTAACAAGAATTTTATGAAAGGTTTTTTTTACCCATGAAATTTAACAAGAATCACAAATACCAGAACCTAAATTCCCACAAAAATTGAGAGACCCCAAAAAATAACAATAATTTGGCTTGCATATGAAAACACGGAATATATTAAGGAATGAAATAAGATTTATGGGTAGAGAAAATTTAGAACAAAAAAAATTTGAAATATTTATAAGGAATTAAGAAAGAGACAAGAAAGAGAAGATAAGTAACACTCAACTTGTTGCAGTTGAGAAAACTTGATGAATGAAAGGGACTTGGAGTAAATTAAAATTTTACTTTTTCAAGAAAGAAACAAAACGAGCAATCCGAGAATTATCGTATCTCAAATTTAGAGAGAGAAAATATCAGAAAAGCAGTTCATTTAAAAAAATATATAAATTGGCCTATTCTATGCTTAAGTAAATATTTAAAAAAATTATGCCAAAAACATAATAAGAAGCTATTTATTTCCAATTTAGAGTATAAGTAACCATGTTGTGCCATTTAATATTTTGAATATACAAAGGTTTGAAGATATGAAAGATTTAAAGAAATTGATATTATATTGTATTAAAGTGTATTATAATTTAGTCGGATAGGTATCACTAAAAAGAGAGTGTTGTGTTCTATATGTGTCTTATAAATTGTTTTGGATTGTATCACTAAAAAATGAGTGATATTTATATATTTTAAAAATGTATTGTCCACATATATTATAAACGTGTTATCTAAATTGTTTTTATTGGTATCACTAAGAGAAGAAGTGAAATGTGCAATACATATTGCAAATGTATTGTTAATAAATAGAGCATATATTATATGTGTCTTATAAATTATTTTTATTTGTAACACTAAGGAAAAGTGTGATGTTTGCAATATGTATTAAAAGTATTATAAGTTAGTTATCTAAATTATTCTGGTTGGTATCACTAAGACGGTGATATGTCTGCAATATGTATTATAAAGGTAGTGTTCATGATTTTGATACAATTATAAAACAAATCTAATTCAATTTTAATACAATTGCAAGACAATTTCGAAAACTTCATCTTCTTTGAGTTTATTAATCTAATATTTCTCCTAAAATCAATTCTATACTTAACAAATCGCCCTTAAAATTGAGATATATACTTCAACAATTATTTTCAATTATTTGTAATAACAAATTTAAAATAATCACAAATTCATAAAATTCAAATAATGAATTCAAAGTTTGAAATAGCCAACAATGTTGAATCCTTGTCGTCATTTTAATTTTAGAGATTTAGAGCTCTACTTGTGCACACAATTTCCTATAAATTTTGGGTCTTTGTGCTCTTCTCCTCGTCCTTTTTGGTGAAGATCGTGAAACATGATAAAAATCGATTTAAAGATATGATATTTAGAGATAGTCATTTGGATGAAAATTTTGAAAAAGAAAAAGAGAAGGAGAAAGTAGAGAAAGAGGGAGAGACCGACAAATACAGATGAAGATGGGTCCTTTGGAGTTTCATTGTATGGTTTTTAATTCCAAAAAATGTTATATTTTTTTTTTATATTTTTAAATATTGTCATAAATAGTAAATATTTTCTTAATATAGCATACATATATGATTTTACTCTCTAAAAAAATAATAAAGATAACGCAATTAAAAGTGTTAATTTGAAATAATGGGATTGAACCTATAGAGTACGATCTTCCCTTTTGTAGTTTATTTTCTATATAAGAAGCGGGAAACAAAGATAAAAAGCAGTAAGAAACAAAGAATTAATCAAACAAGTCCATAAGAGGAGCAGATAAAAAATATGATACAACAAAACAAATTAGAAGAGTATAAAGCATGGTGATGTTAGAAATAGATAAGCGAAAACCTAATAATTAAACATAATGTGCTTGTATTTTTCGTCTCCACCACAGAAATCGTGTCCGATCTCTTCCTGCAAAACAAGAAACCATCGTTGAAATGTCGGTCCAGAATATGATAGAGAAAGCAAAACTCATTAAAATTGATAACGTACCCCAACAACTCCTCCTCTGGTGCATATAAATTCTTTACCCAACATTTCATTAAACCATTTATCTGAATCCATATGGATAATAGCGCATCTAAGAGACCATGGTAGTTTTATATCATCGTTGTTCCAATCGAAGTCATAAGATTCTGGCTCTGTTTAACAAGAAAATAAATCCATGTTTTCTTAATGGAAAAAGTTATTAAGAAAAGATGGTACTCACCTACTGGTCCTGGAATTGGTAATTTTCTTCGCATGCCATCGATGCCAGCAATAATTATTGATGCTAGACCCAAGTGTGGGTTTGCAGATCCATCAAATGTTTTCATTTCAAAATTGGTTACCACACCATTTGGAACTCCAGGAGGGCAACAAGCTCTTACAGGTAACTCTTTACATTCTATCCCCCAGCAAATGAATGATGAATTCCGTGCCTTAGGTATTAAGCGCTCATAACTGTGCATTATTCATAAATTTTAACCAAATATGAAAAGAAGATGGTCTTGTAGTGTCATCACAAACTATATTAGACAAATTTGGTCATTTGGAAGAATTGGCACTTGAGAGATCAAAAGCACAAAGAAATGACACAAAGGAGAGCAGTACATTAAGAGCTAAAACATGTTTACCTATTAGAGATAGGCATCGTAAATACACATAGGGAACAAAGATGATCTAATATCCCAGCCATGAATGATTCTCCTATCAGGGACATCCCATACCTATTTGGTTCACCAGATGCCATAAAAATATTTTCTCCATTCTTAAACAAACTGATGTGTACATGTGATCCTGAGCCAACATCATCATCTGTAGAATGAGCATAAGACTGGGGACACACATTATTGTTATAGTACCTACAAAAAAGTTCAGATGATAAAGTTGTTACAACTCTAAGATTTTTGCTAAGTTTTAATTCAATTATATGTTCCACCATGTTTTAAGTGCTGGAAGGTTGAAAAGTGTGTTTCAATAAATTGGGAATTAAATGGAACTTTTTAAGAGTCGAAAGACAACTTTAGGAAAAAGAAAAGGTAAAAGACAATAAGGGATTAGGATTTAGGAATTATGGCTAGTGGAAAAATGGCCTAAACTAAAAGAATGTATGTGACTCCCATTATAGGAGTGGTTGCCAATGATTTCTGGAGTGAAATAATAGCCATTGGACTCTAGTTTCCTGTGATTTAAGAAGTTTTTATTTGTATATTAAAATAAAAGAGTTACATTTTACTGAAGGGCGTATATAGGAAGAGCATGTCCCCTTTGAGCTTTCTTGGACATACCAACATATAATACCATAATGGTATTTGAAATAATGCATTTTGTCCCTCTTATTTTTCATTTTGTCCCTCTTTGGTAAGAAAGAATAAAGAAGAAGTGTTTTTGCATACTTGATTTGAATAATTTTTTAAAATTTGTTTTTTGTTTTAAGAAACACTTTTAACAAATTGTAAATTTTAAATAAGGGATAAGGGTCTGAAAAATACCCAACTTTGGTCGGATTTGCTGTTGCGATATTAAACTTTCATGAGGACCTATTACTTTCCTAGACTATTTAATACTATATTTTTTACCCCCTGAACTATTTAATAGTGTATTTTAAAGGTATATATGAGCCCACGTGGACACATTACTATTTATAATTTTGCATTATTTTTTATGTCCATGTGGGCAAATATATATGTTTAAAATACGGTATTAAATAGTCTAGTGAGGTAATAGGTCTTCATGAAAGTTTAGTATCACAACAGCAAATTCGATCAAAATTGGGATATTTTTCAGACCCTTATTCCCTTAAATAATATGACTGCTGAGTTAAAAGGTAAGTACTGAAAAAAGAGATGTTAAAAGATAAGTTCCTTTTATGAAAGGTCTGTTTGATAATGGTAATAGACATGAAGAGGTATTATAAATACATATTTCCTCTCCAATGAAATATACATCAATACTCTATCCTCTCTTCTACTTATTTCTGTTTTTGATATCACAAAGTATGTTTTATTGTTAGTTGAACAAGATACAATTAAGATTAACTCGGAAGGAGGATAGCACATCAAGTCTCTATTATTGTCGTCCAAATATTAGTCCTTTTACAATTCTCGAGAGGAATGTGTTAGCCCAATTATACAAGCTAATGCTTGTTGTTATGTTTGAGTAGAGTGATATTATCTAATAAACTAAATGCCAAAAGGACAAAAATTATATTTGTGGTAGATTTCTTAGGGAAAAAATCACGTCTGGATCAGCAAGAAAAAAAGAATATGCACATGAAAATATTGTGCTACCTACCTTGGGGTAAAACTTGCTAGTAGCCCATGTTTCCTTGCAACCCCTTTGACTACTTCATGTGTAATTATTAAGTTATTTGCTGCTCTACCACAATCGGTGTATCCCAACACAATTTCAAACTGACCTTTTCCAGCTTCTGAATGTAACTGCATTCTAAAAGGACGACGCATCAAATAAAGCAGTATGAATTCTATAGACAATAAAGTAAATGATTTATATTCAAGTACCATTAATCTTGTATAAGTAAAATATAAACAAATGTGTAGGTACTAGGTTTCTAACAAAATAAACCTTTAATGTATTACGGTTAACAGAGAACATCCTTAATGTTTTCCAAAATGAACAATTTCATTCCAAAGTTAGATTTCATCTAAAATTAAAGGTGCGACAAAACCCGAATGCAAGGCACATGATCTTTTATCTTAAATAATAAAAAAAAGTAATGTTATCATCTTTATTAGACACCTGAATTCCAATTTTAAAGAGAGGGATTCCATCTTCTTCATCATTTTAAGGCTCCTATGAAGTGTTCTCATGCTCCATTTCCAATAAAAGTCTTTAAATGATTTAGCATTTCCATCGAGGGGTGCCGATGAGAATAGAAGGTAAAAACAAAATGTGAGTGGTATTGCAGTAAAGGAGAAATACTTTGGTAGCGCTATCACACAGAAGGAAATGCTAGGGAAAGTTAGTCAGCATAATTATGTTTGCCCTATGCAATAACACTAAGGGGCCATTTACCATGCAGTGCTATCGTGCAATAGCACAACATTGATTCTTTTTCCTTGTTAGGCACAATCATGCCCCTACTTGTTCCCCATGATTCCATCGTTAATTTAATGTTTTATTCATTGTTTGTTTTGACAATTTTGGGGGTTTTGAGCCCTAAGTTTTAGAATATGAAATCATTGATTTGAGGGGTCATTCGTAGATGGAATTGGGTAATTTTATAGATTTAGTGTTCCATTATGGGAGATCATATCTATTGTACTCACTTTTCTCATGTGGAGTGTTCAGATCTCTTGCTTAGACTTTTGTTGTAATAATAAAGAGGGTAGGGGACAGAGGGTCTCTCAGTTTCATCCCTCTAGATTACTGAAGTAAATCAAATGACTCCTATCAGAAACTAGCCTCCACACTATATAGCAATAATTTCCGACAAATCAAACTTTCTCAGCACCTTCATCAAAATAAATAATGAAACTCTGTCATAAGTCTTTGCCGTGTCGAGCTTGACAACCACATTATAAAGCTTGTTTCTTTTGTTGATGTCCCTTTCAATTTCTTGAGCTAGTAGAGCATCCTAAAAAATGTGTATCCCATTAACAAATCATGTTAGGCTTCTTGAGATGAGCTGACTGTTACTCACATGAACTTTCATGTAGCATACTAAAGCTTATCTTATTAGCAAATGTACTCAAGCTTATATGCCTTAAGTCACTGAAGTTATTAACTTTTTTCTTTTTTGGGGATAAGAACTAGATTAGTGTGAGTTATATCTTTGTTGTTGACCAGAAAATAATTTTTTTCACTATATTAGTTACATACTTCCCTGTAATGTTCCAGGAAGTCTCCCTGAAAAATCATTTGGTCCACTAGTACTGTTGTCTCAATTTAGGGTAAAAATCACTTCTTTACCTCTTCAATACTAGATGGTCTAGTGATGTCTTCATTCTGCGCTCGAGAAATTATGGTAGGAATGAGCTCCAGCATCACATGGTTTGTTATTTTATTTGTTTCTCTGAACTATTCTTTAAGGACATTCACTGCTTCTTCCCCTATGTATTGTGTAGTGTCAATTGTTTGAATTCAAAAAATATTTAAGTTTTTTCTCCTCCTTTGACATAAGAGTAAAGAATTTTGTATTTATATCCCTCTACTGAAATAATCTTATCCCCAATTTCTATTTCAGGCCACCTCAATATATAAATGTCTTTTCAAGAAAGCTTTTACTCTGCTGAGGGAATCCCTTTGTGGGATGAATTTCAAGCACAATCTATTTGACCTTTGATTAGATCCTTTAATGTAGAGATCTGCTGGAAGATGTTGGCAACGTATCTACGCTCCATTAAGCTCAAAGTCCCTTCACTTTCTTAATCTTAGCCTGATATCTGTGAAAGAGTTCCTAGAAATTTCACCTTCCAATTTTACTCCACAACCCCTAGGAATGGATGTTGCTTAGTCCAGATTTAAGAAACATGAAGGGTTTGACCACTAACTCTTACATACAAAATTACATATTACATGAAAAGGAGCATGATTAAAGCATTGTCTAATTATGTGGTGAAATTCACTTGCTCAGAGAGCATTCATAAACTCCTGATTACAAAAGATTCTATCTACCCTTTTAGAAGTTCAATTTTCCTGAATTCTTCTATTCCACCAAGTGTAAGCACTACTAGTAAATTTGAGCTGTTAAGAGCACAACTGCTAATACATTATACAATGTTTGTTGTCTCATGTTGAGTAACTAGAATTTCTCTTAGCTTCTCAAAATAAAAAGACATAAAGTATCACATGAAGTTGTCTCAAATTTTCAAAAAAGACATCGTAACTATCTCCCTAAATAATTTTGAACTGGTATTACTATATCATTTTTTGACAAGTCCTAGATTTTAAAAAGAAAGTGTTATCACACACAAATCATTACGTGAGACATGTTAATTTAATTTTAAGATATATTTTTTCATTTTAAGTTTTCTTTATTCTCTTTTTTTTTTAAATTTTTTTTGTCTCCTTTACCTTTTGTTTTATCTAATTTTGAATTCACCTTAAATTCCACTTCACCTCCCACCCCCACACCACGTTCAAGCTGACCCCTTCCCCTTTTTTTTTACTTTCTTTCTTTCTTTCTTCTTCTTCACCTCCAACCTTCACCCCCTCCCCCACGTTCAAGTTGAACTCCTCCCCTATTTTCTTACTTTTTTTTGCTTCTTGTTCGGTCAACTTTCTTTCTCTCAATGAATTTGTTTTTAAAAAGCATACTATTTTCTAGACTTTGTTGAATTATTGATAACAAAACTAATTATTTTTCTAAAAAAATTTAATTTTTTTAAGGCATCATCATTTAATTTATCTCCTTTATATAACTTCAAAATTAGAAATCATAATTTTGAAAAAATTAATGAATTCCCCCAAAATCAAAAGAGTTTGATTGAAATTCAGATAAAAAAGCTAAATGATACCTTCTAATCATCTTAAAATCTAATGAATTTATCAAATTGTTCGAAATGTAAGAAAATATTTAGATAATGTTTTAAAATTAAAGAGAGTCAAACTAATCGTAGTAATATAAGAAGGATGGAGTTGTGATAAAAATGGTGACATTGAAAGTGAGGAGTTTCAATGGAGATGACAACGAAATTTTGAAGAAGAAAGAAGAAAGAAGAAAGAGAGAAAAAATAATAAGGCAAAAAATCAAAATAATAAGAAAACAAGAAAATATATTTTTATAACAAAATACTTGTAAAAATAAATTTATATTCATTATTTTAGGTTGTTCACGCTCTTTAAGAGACTATATATATACTCTCTATGCCAGGTGGACAAAAACTGATGTAATAATATTAGTTCAGAATTATTTAGGGGGGTGATAAGACACCTGGATAGTCAAAGTGTCTTTTAAAAATTGAAAAAAAAATATACATA